CAGCTCCAGCTTGTGCCACCACATCTTCTGCAACATGTGGGGTTTGATGGTGGGATTGATGCTTAAGGTTTTAGCTTTTATATTTTTCAGATTCTGTGTTGCTTTTGTGTGTAATTCTGAGCTTTATATCAGGGGATGGTGAACTCTGTGCACAGAGCAGGGAGACAAAACAATTCCTGCTCCAGCTGGGCACCAAGGACAAATGATCCAAATCTCAGGCCCCAAGAGCACAAACAATGGTGGAATGAAGAGAGAAAAACAAGCAGGATGGGACTTGATGGGGTAAATCTGGAATTGGACAATGAACTCCAGCATGCAAATGGAGCAGAACTGATCAAAGTGAGAGGCCTTGTGAGTGGTTGTGCACTTTGGGACCATTTTGGTTTTTAACTGCCTTTTATTAACTGTGGTGCCTTCTGAGGAGAGTCACTGAGGGGCTCAGTTCATAGAGAAAGGATTTACTCAGATTTAGGGCCTCCACAAAGGCCTCTGAACATGCAAACCCCTTCCCATCCTCAGCTGGGCTCTGCTGTGCACACATGAAAAATGCATGCAGGCAACATGAGCCAATATTCCTGAACCTCCTGCCTGGCTTGCAGAACTCTGCTTCCAGGAAAAACACAGATCTCAGGGAGATGAATAAACACGTGCCCCCTGCTCTGCTCAGAGCTCCCTTTCAGCCCCCAGAGCACGAGGAGGATGATGGAGCCCAGAGGATGCCAGGATGTGCCACAGGCAGCAGGAACAGCAGTGGCTGTGGCAGGAAAGTCTTAGGGGAAAACAGGAGAAAAAAAAAGCTTTAAGAAAATAATTATAATCCTGGTTTATTGGGACCTGCAATAAGAAGTCTTGCTGTACTCCAGAGAGCTGAGTTTGCTCAAGAAAACTTGGGATGAAAACGCAATGAAAACTCGGGAAGGGAACGAAAATTCTGTCTCCAAAGGCCAGGAGAAGCTTTGCACGACATCCCTGTGCAAAGAGCAAGCTGCTTCAGGATCCTGCAGGCTGGCTGGGAAGTGCCAGCCAGCGTGGGAATGGGGTAATGGAATTAGGGCTGCAGTGGAAAATCCTAGCTGCACAATAAAGGCTCCTTGTTCAGGGATGGAGCACAGTGGAACTTCTCCCTGGAAGTGCTGACAGTCCTCCAAAGAGATGGAGAGAAGGATGAGAACCAATAACAAACAAATCTCCTCTCCTGAGAAATGATTTTTCAGATTCTGTGCTGCTTTGGTGTGTAATTCTGAGCTTCATATGAGGGGATGGTGAGGAGAGCAGGGATTCCCTTCACGGAGTAAGGAGACAAAACAATTCCTTCTCTAGCTGGGGACCAAGGAAAAATAATGCAAAATTCAGGCCCAAGAGCACAAACACTGTGGGCTGAAGAGAGAAAACCAAGAAGGATGGAATCTGCTCTTTGTCCCTGTGTAAAACCCTTTGGGACAACAGAGGGATCAAAATCCCAGCAGAAAATTCCCAAATTATCCAAATCTCAGGCCCAAGAACACAAACAACATGGGCTGGAGAGAGAAAAACAAGAAGGATGGGATCTGCTCTTTGTCCCTGTGTACAACCGTTTGGGACAACAGAGGGATCAAAATCCCAGCAGAAAGTTCCCAGCCCATCAGCACAGAGCCTGCAGGGTTCTGCTTCCTGCAGGATTTGTGCAAGCAGCCCTGGGATGGGGACAGGGCAGGCACAGGATGGTCAGAGCAGGGCTGGAGCTGCAGCTGCTGCACATTAGGCACACTGCAAATGAAACACTGCATTCAGGATGGAGTTTCTGCCCTGGTTTTGCTGCTTGTTTCTTGGAAGAAGCACTCTGTCATCTCCACTGAGCTGCCCTGATAGCTATCTGCAGGACTCTGGGAAACACAGCTCCTCTGCCAAGGCTCCTGCAGCCAGAAATTGTTAAGACAGAAAGAGTGGATTTCTTTTTTCACACTGAACAGCACACAAGATTGATTTTTATTTTTCTCCAAGCCATGAAACTTGTTGAAGGACAAGGAACAGGCTTTGCGATTTATTTCACTGTTAATTTGTGTGATCCTGATTCTCAGGCCCTAAAATAGGGATTGGAGCAGAGCCACATTCATGCTGTGGGGCTGAACACCATACAATCCACCCAGCATCCAAATTTCACTGTATTTACTGTGGTTTTAAGCACTGTGCCTAAGCCAACAAGATTTTTTCCCACTTCCAGGGGAAGCATCTTCACTGGGAGAGGGAAGAGGATGGACCCAATGAGCTGATGTGAGCAGTCCCTTCAGGGAGCCAGAGCTGCTGCTGGTTCCCACAAGATTAGATTAATTCAGATTCATTCATTGGAGATTAGTTCCTGCCATTGAGGGGTTTGTGATGGTGCAGCAGCAAGAAATCACCTGATTTAAAGGAAAGAAGATGCAGCAATGGACAAAGCCAGGGCTCTGTGGCTGCAGGGGACAGTGAGATGGGAGGGAACACTCCCAGGAGGGCATTTTGCTGGAATTACAGAATTCATTTCCAGTCTGTTCCATTTTCCAGCTAAAGGAGTGACAGCATTGTCTGCTCCTGCAGAGCTGGAGGAGAAACAGGGTTAACACACAGGAAAACAGGGTTAGAAGCAAAGGCTCATAAGCTCTGTGCTATTCTTGTGTAATTACGGTGCCAAAGGCTTCCAAGATAAAGGATTTTAGTGGGAACTGTAAATGCCAGCTGTAAAATGAACGAGAAACAGCCACATCCCCACAAGAACAGCAAACATCCCTTGTCTCTGCATCCCAGCTATGCCCAGCCCTCACACAACCAACAGGGGCTCATTAAAGCCTTCCAGGGGATGGAGCTCCTTCATCCTCTGAGCTGGATCCAGGACCCCCCTCCCTGCCTTGGGAAGGGCTTTGCCAGGGGTCACACCTGGAACAATCCCAGGGATGCCCCAAGATTTAAACCCAGCTACAGAAATGCTGTGATGGCCCTGCCAAGGGGAGGGAATGATGAGGAGGACTCCATGGATGTCAGAAGGCTAATTAATTACTTTATTATACTGTATCATTCTATTATAAAAGCATACTATATTATAATATTATATTTATATTATACTATATATAAAATATTATATTATAATATAGTATGTTATACATAGTATAATATAAAGCATAATTATACTATATTATAATAGAGTATATTATATTATACTTATTAATATTACATAGTATATTATATAGTATACTATATAATATACTTTTTCTATTGTTATTATTGTTATTATTGTTATTATTATTATTATTATTATTATTATTATTGCTACTATTACTATTACTATTATTGCTATTATTACTATTATTCTATTTTATTCTATCTAAAACTGAACCTGCCAAGCACTTAACCCTGCACACACTGCACAAAATCTCGTGACTGTCCCCCAACAGTCCTGACACACACACACTCTTGGCCAAGGAAACAAAACACCATCACTGTGGGTAAACAATCCCCATGTTGCATTCTACTTTGGCACAAACATAGCCACAGCAAATTATAAGAATTGTGTTTTCTTTCTCTGAGGTTCAGAGAATGTGAATCCCAGAAATATTCTTGGGTAGAATTGTGCCTCGCTTTTCTCTGTGAAGGGCAATGTGGGGCTGCACCCAGCCCTTGCCAAGGCACTGCAGTTTGTGCACATGAATCCCCCAGCCTCCAAACCCCTTGAATGTTCCTCCCCCTTAAAACAAAAACCACTGCAGGACTCAGGGCTATCATCACAACAAACACTCCTCAACTCACAGCACATCTTTCTCCCCCAGACCCTGGGCCCTGCCTCTCCCCCAGCCCTGCTGGGATCTGTGTTTAACAGATGGGAAGGCTCTGAGCTGGTTTTACACGTGAAAAGCTGTTCCCCTCCAGCAATCTCAGCACAGACAAGGCAGGGAAAATATGTTCCAACAGTGGGAATGGTGGCAGGGCTGGGTGGCAGGGCTGGGAGTGGGGCAGGGATCCCATCCTTCCCTTCATCCTGGCTGTGCCTGCCTTGGGATGCACCCCAGATCCCCTCCAGAACAGCAGCAGGACACATGTGGAGAAAATCCAATGTGTTCTGTAGCTGGGGGGTGAAAAAACACACATTCCATCCCCAGAAAAACGAGCAGAGGTAATTTAGGCTGCAAACTCATCCCTGTTATAGCCGTGGCTCTAATGAGATGTTCCCAGATTAATAATACAAATGCACTCTAACAAGGAAAAGCAATTGCAAAGCAATTTTGCAGGGAGCTGAACAAAGAGCAGGATAACAGCTCTGCTTAATAGGGGCTGTCTGCTGCTGTTAATTCCTTCTGCACTGCTCCCTCAGAGGAGGAGCAGGCAGCACAGCCTGCAATCCCACACCAAGGATGTGCTGCGACACAGCCAGGGGACATTTCACAGGTGTTTGGGGCAGAAAGGTCCCTGGGCTCTCCTGCACAGGGGACAGTGGGGACACTGGGGTGACGCCACAGCTCCTGAGCACTGCTGGCTTTCCTGGGATCCCTCGTGGAGTTGAGCAAAACCTCCAGACAGAGACAGCAAAACTCTCCCTGCTGCATTCCCCAGCACAAACAATTCCTCATTTTTCACTTATTTCATCTGAAACTATTCCTACCTGCATCCCAAAGGTGTCTGTTTAACCCCATTATGTGCAGCTTCTGAAGAGTGTGAGGTGATTAAATACAAGGAATATGGAGAGAGGGAGAGAGAGATGTTATTTTAAAGCATCATATTGAAAGGATCTTACCTAATTCCTTTGGTTTGAGCAATACTGTGGAAGGAGAGCCAGGATACTGCAGACAGCAAAACTCTCCCTGCTGCACTCCCCAGCACAAACAGTGTACACAATTCCTAATATTTTCACTTATTTCATCTGAAACTGTTCCTACCTGCATCCCAAAGGTGTCTGTTTAACCCCATTATGTGCAGCTTCTGAAGTGTGTGAGGTGATTAAACACAAGGAATATGGAGAGATGTTATTTTAAGGCATCGTATGGAAAGGATCTTACCTAATTCCTTTGGTTTGAGCAATGCTGTGGAAGGAGAGCCTGGATACTGCAGAGATCACCTGGAAATGAGAGAAAAAGAGGCTGGTGAGCTTACTGAGGACACAGGAAGGTTTGGTGGGAGCCCAAGGACCCCCAGCCTGGTGCTTGGAGCTGGGATGGAAATGTTCCAGTCCCCCCATCAGTGTCACAGTGTCACCATCAGCACCCCGCTTTATCTTCCACCACTGAGCACAAAAGACATTGAACCCTCAGGATATTAATGAACAGCTTCATCTGAGGAAATTCCATCCCCACACTCATTTAATGAGCCCAGACCTGCCCTGACAGGTTTTATGCAACACTAAGAAGCGCTGAGAAAACCCTCTTAGTTTGTGTTTTATTACAAAAGGATTACAACTCCTTCCGTGGCTCTCCTCACACAAAATGATCTTATTGAGGCAAAACTTGCCAAGGCTGAACAGCTCTGGCTTCTTGCAATTCAATAAAGATGCATCATCAGTTTGTCAGAGGTGGGTGCAGACCATCGCCCTTTTCTGGCAGAGAACAGCCAGGAGTGATTCAACACCAAAATATTCTCATCAGCACTGCAATCAGAAGCAATAAAACCACCAGGATTTTCAGAAAAACTCCCATTTTTGATGGAAGTTTTAATTGCTATGGGGAATTTTCAATGAAGAGGAACAAATAATGAGTTTGATGTAGATTTAAAGTGTGTTTTACCCTTGTTCACATTCACCATTTCAAAGCTGAGGTGATAAAAACAAAGCTGTTGTTTTTGGACTGGTTTCCAATCTCCTGGGATGGGACATGGATAAGGGGCTCCAGGTGTACAAACCCAACCCCTGGGGGCTGCTGCTGCCTGGGGCTGCCCTGCATCCAACCCTTTATTCAGGAATTTTACTTTGGGATGCTCCCCTGCTTTGCTGAGCCACCTCCACACCACCTACCAGGGACCACAACCCTGGATTTTCTCCTGGGATGAACTCAGAGCGACATTTTTATCCCACGACATCAATGAGAGCCTCATCTCACCATCCTTTCCCTCCACACTTTTTTGCAACTTTCATCCCTCTCATTTTTCATGTGCCATGAATGTGCCATTTCATGTGCCATGAATGCCAGCCCGGCTGTCAGGCTGATTTTTGGGAATCACCCAAAAAGTGAGTGATTTCCATGTGGAAAACAGGGAACAGAACATCCCTGAAAGGCTCCAGGGCTCACCAGGGCACAGAACACCTCAAGTGGCACCTGGAACACCCAGCCCAGACAGGGCACAGAGATGGAAACTCCCCTGGCATCCCCAGCCCTGCTCCAGAGGGCTTAAAATAGCACCAAGGAAATCCTAGAGTGACTGAATGAGTCTCTCCATGCTCTATTTTTAGCCTTCTGAAGTAAAAATCCAGTTTGTGAATCAGACAGTGCCACCGCGGGGTTTGACTTCCAGGGAAACAGAAGAGAAAAGTTCCCAGTTCTCCTCCCCAGCAAGGCTCCCTCTGCTCTCTGCTCAGCCTGGCACATCAAAGCTGGCTCTGCTTCCAGTGAGGGGCCAGCACAGCCCATTGGGGATCCCAAATCCACTGATCCCAAATGCACAAATCCCCAATCCACTGATCCCAAATCCACTGATCCCAAACCCACACTCAGCTGAGAAAGTGAGGAGCCAGCACAGCCCAGTGAGGATCCCAAATACACTGATCCCAAATCCACTATCCCAAAACCACACTCAGGTGAGGAAGGGAGGAATCAGCACAGCTGAGTTGGGATCCCAAATCCACAGATCCCAAATCCACATTCAGGTGAGGAAGTGAGGAGCCAGCACAGTCCAGTGAGGATCCCAAATCCATAGATGCCAAACCCACAGATCCCAAATCCACATTCAGCTGAGAAAGTCAAGAGCCAGCACAGCCCAGCGAGGATCCCAAATCCACAGATCCCAAATCCATATTCAGGTGAGGAAGGGACGAGCCAGCACAGCTGAGTTGGGATCCCAAATCCACAGATCCCAAATCCATAGATCTCAAATCCACAGATCCCAAATACACATTCAGGTGAGGAAGTGAGGAGCCAGCACAGTCCAGTGAGGATCCCAAAATCACTGATCCCAAACTCACAGGTCCAAAATCCATGGATCCCAAATCCACATTCAGGTGAGTAAGTGAGGAGCCAGCACAACCCAGTGAGGATCCCAAATCCACACTCAGGTGACAAAATCAGGAGCCAGCAAAGCTGAGTGAAGATCCCAAATCCGTGGATCCCAAATTCACAGATCCCAAACCCACAGATACCAAATCCACAGATACCAAATGCACACTCAGCTGAGAAAATGTGGAACCAGCACAGCCCAGTGAGGATCCCAAATCCACAGATCCCAAATCCACACTCAGCTGACAAAGCCAAACCACCCAGTGTGAGGGACCAGGCACAAAAAAGCCTCCTTGAAGCACTTCCAGAAGGGCTGTCCCAATATCAGGAATATTTTTCTGTCCCAATATCAGGAATATTTTTCTGTCCCAATATCAGGAATATTTTTCCCAACATCTCCTGAGAGCAAGACAAGCCCAGTGCCAGCCCAGCTCCTCACAAACCCCAGCCCCCAGCCAGGGAAGTGTTTAGGATCAGTAATCCTCTCAATTTCTACAGGATTAAACAACATTATTAAAACTAACTCAGCCCTTAAGTGTTTGCTAAACTGTGTCTCATTTTGCCCTGTAAAAAACTTCTTATTTGCAGGCAAACCCAGGCCTGATTCTGGCTCTGGGGTTAGGTAAGGACCTGTCCCACACTCACAGGGCAGCAGGAGGGTCCCTGATCCCAGCTGAGGCTTTTCCCTGCTCCTGGAATCCCAGGACACACAAAAACAAGTAAAACAGATATTCCAACCTGAATTTTGCTTTGCCCCTGAACACTTTGAACACTTTGGGCAATTTTGCCAGGGCCTTACCACCCTCACAACCAGGAATTCCTTCCCAATATCCATTCAACCCAAATCTCTGTCACTCTAAAGCCATTTCCCCTTGTCCTGCCACTCCATCCCTTGCCAAAAGTCACCCTCCAAGTCATTTGAAGATGTTGTTTGGAAAACTGTTCTCTTATCTGTGCATTTTTCTTCAGGAGATGTGGGGCCATGGGTTTTAACACCAGGGGCTTATGCAGATTATTGCTATTATTATTACTTCTTCACCCATTTCTCAATGCAATTTCCTCCCTGGAAACTGCATTCAGCACACAAAATTACCATAAAAGCTATATATAACATCCCAGTGACAATAAGGTGGCAGGAATATAAATAGGAATATAAAGGTGCCACATGCAGGTGGTGCACAGACACTTTTCTCTAGCAGTGACCTGCAAAGGCTTGTGGGGAAATTTCTGGTGGTTTTGCCATGACAAGTGTGGGATTCTCCTCACATTCCTGAAATTCCAGTGAGGTTTTGTATTTATGGTTCAGTCCAAGCACCCAGCTGATCATTTACTGACCAGAGAAATCATTGCTGCAAAGCAACAGCACCACAAAGTCAGGCAGGAGCCCTGCAGGTGAGTTCAGGTTTAAAAAAGCCCCTGAGTTCTGCACTTCATGGGAAAAAGAAAGAAAGAAAAAAAATTATAATTATAAAATAAAACTAAAAATAAATTTATAAATAAAAATAAAAAGTTATAACATAAAATTAAAAATGAAAATAAAAATATAAAATTAAAAAATTAAAATTATAAAATAAAATTAAAATTAAAAATAAATTTAAACTAAAAATTAAAATAAATAAAACAAAATAAAACAAAATAGACATTTAAAAATATATAAAATAAAATAAATAAAAATAAAAACAATTTAAATAAAGAAATTAAATTAAAAAAATAAAAAATAAAAAATAAAAAATAAAAATTAAAAATAGAAAAAATAAAATAGATAAAAATAAAAACAATTAAAATAAATAAAATAAAATAGAAAAAATAAAATAAAATAAAATAAATAAATAAAATAAAATAAAATAAAAGTCAAGACTCAAAGTGGGAAATTTTGGTCATTGGTCATCACTGGTCATTTTGGAAAACACCAAAGTGAGTAAAGAAATGGGATTTTTGAAATGAATTAAATAAAAACCACAATAGCCACACTACTTCAATAAAATATTTACCACTTTTCTTCTTTACTCCCAACACTTTCTTTTAGGAATCACAGATTTTAAAATAAACCAAAGCCAAATAGAAAATAAATTATTATGTTCACTGCTCTTCTACTTCCTCTGGCATTGTTTATGGCCTATGGTATCTCTGAGCATCTAAAAAACTCTAAAATAAACTTTTTTTTTTATTTGCAAAAACAAACTGCCCCAGCTGGGCTGGAGAACACTTTGCATAGGAGGAACTTTCCAGCTCTGGGCACTGCAGGGAGCAGGAATGAGCTGAGGGCTCACAGCCAGCACTGAGCATTTCCAGAACAGATTTCCTTCTAAGCAAACCAGGAGCTCTGCCCAACACTGATACCTCTGGGCAGAGATTTCTCTGTGCCAACACTGATACCTCTGGGCAGAGATTTCTCTGTGCCACCTCTGCCCATGCCCTGCCACAGAGAGGGGTTTGCACAGCTTGCAATCACAGGGAGTCATTTTCTGCTTTTTCCCTGAACTCAGAAAGGGCAGAACAAATCCTCAGGCCAAACATCCCCAGCCTCAGGCAGAAACTTGACCCTAAAATCAGAAATAAACTGATGGTATCTCTGAGCAACGAGAAAATCTCTCAAATAAACTCTGTCAGGTCTGAAAAAACAAAGCAGCTTGGCATGGGAGGAAGGCAGAGAGCACAAGCCACAACCTGCCCGCTCTGGATCAGTCATTGGTGCTCTTGTCTGGGGCTAAACCTGCAAGAGCTGATGTCTTGTGAAAGCTGAGATAGAACAGAGGCTGGGCAGAGTTAAAGAATAAAGCAGGGATTTATTAAAAGGATTTCCTTCACGGACCCACCTTGGGCAGCACAAGAGCCCAGCAAGGGCTGCACCCAAAATGAACCAAAATGGGCACGAAATGCACCCAAAATGAACCAAAATGGTCCCAAAATGCACAAC